GAAAAGCGGAGGTGGCCTGTGGCTGTTTCTCAGAATTATGCGGAAGTTTGTCTGTCCTCAGCCACGGGAGAGCACTGCTGAGGGACACTGGCAATGTACCAGCTCTTGTGTGATAAAATCCAGCTCCTCCCAGCAAAAGGGGGTGCATGAGCAGCCAAAATGAAAGTGCGACCAGGACTCAAAGGCATGGCGGTCCCCGTGCCAGCCAAACCACGTGAAAGCCCCACGGCACCCAGGAGAGGCTCAGACTGCACGAAGGGGAAAGCCTCACTTCAGAACACATCTTTGCCAGTAAGACAGAAGTTATTTCCCAGAGGAAAAACACTTTATTATTTTATACCCATTGGCTGAACAATCTGCAGCTTTTCTGTGTGACAGTTGATAAATTAATCTTTAACATATTTTTCCTTTAATATCAGGAAGATAGTGAAGGCAAAGGAATTCTTTGTAAAAAACCAACTCCCATTTAACCCCTATATAATGAGTTTGCATATCCTGCTAGTCATCTGGATTGGTTTACCCTCACAGGTGTGATAGCAAACCAAACCCAAACAGCATATTTGTTTCCAAATTACAGCACGCCCACACCAACGGTCACCTGTTCTGGAAGCACGTGGGTGCGCTTGATAAAGTCAGGTAGCCAAACAGGACTCAACAACTGGGTTTTTCAGGGGTTGTTGAAAGAGCTACAAGTCTTATGGAAACCGTGCAATTTGGTAGCTACCTTTTCTGGATATCTTGGAAGACCTTAGCCCTGGCTGACGATTTCCAGAATTATTGAGCTATAACTGGGGAGTGATGTGTATCCCCCGTGTACTCACCAAGTTTTCTGGAAAGATTAACTTCACCATTTTCATACCAGGCTTTATAAAGAATAGAACAGGACAAAAAGGATAAAAAAATAGAACACAAATGTTGAAGCCTATAGTGATTTTGGCTACCTAATAGTTGCATGGAAAGACCATTTCCTTTTTTAGGGTTTTATTCTTCATATGTTAATTAAATTTTATCACAGGCATTGCAAGAAAAACTTTAGTTATTATAGTCATAACAATGTGTAAGGACATTTAATCTGGAAGTTCCCAGTTATACAGTCAGTGATATGCCTGTAAGCGACTGAAATACTGAAAGATAGAAGGCAGATTAATACAAATTGTCTCACTTCTGCTTCTGTTGAAACTATTGTAAGTTTTGGCACTAACAGAACAGGAAAAACGGGGAAAGGAGAAGTCTAAACACCTACATTTTTCCATTTTAGAAGATTATGTGTTCAACTTAATTTCTACAGTTTAGCTTTTTCCACATTTTTGGGGCTTTTTTGTTAAATTTATTAAATTCTTTGGATCAATATGATATTTTCAATATCTCCCATAGGAAATGAAAACCATAATAATGAGCTATTCTGAATTCACATATAAAGGACCATCACTGCTCATGGATGTTAAAAACAAGTTTCCTCTTGCCAGTGAAATCCAAACAAATGGTTTGTAAAGAGGAAAAGCAAGAGGCCACACCTGCCTGTTACATGGAGGAGGGTTCCTCCAACTGGTTCTGTACCTGCCCGGCCAGTACAGATTTCAGTTCCTAGCGGGAGCATCACACACACTTGCAGTCAGCCAGATGCATCCTATTAGAACAGCTTGAGTGTTCAAATTCACCCTGCTTAAAAAAAAAACCCTTTTCTGCATGAAAAGGGAAGAACCCTGAGCAGCCCGGGAGGGTCAGCTCTCCCTGCAAGCCCCAGTCCTGCTCAGAGCGGCTCCGTCGTCTTCCCGAGGTTTCAGCTGCTGCACCGGAGCAGCCCGTCAGCCCCGACGGGGCCGTACAGGGGCGATTTCAGGGGGAGGCTGATCCTCGCCCATCCCCTTGCACCCCAAGGGGGCCAGCAGTAGGTGCGGATGCTCTGCAGGACAGGAAGGTGGGAGCAGGTTCCTGCCCCCCCAGCCAGAGCTGCCACAGGCAGAGGGACCTCGCGTGTCCTACCCACCAGGATGTGGCAGCTCTACCAGGTGTGGAGATACAGGAGACCTGCATAGGCACAGCTGGAAATGAAAACCCAGAAGCTTTGCACAGCTCTGTGGACAATCGGAGTTTTCTGTGGACGCAGGAGGATTTCACTGCAGGGACCTGGAGTTTTAGATCAAGGACAAATCAGAGTAACAACCAAAAGCATTCCCAGGTCATCATCGACCTTGCAGAAAATGCTACAGTTCAAATCCTGGTTGTAACTTATGATATGAACAACTGTGCTGTTCATGCTCATCTTCCTTTCAAAATTTATTCAGGGGAAAAATATTTTAAATTACTTCAAATGATAACATCCACTGGGGAAAAAGCAACACAATGAAGAGGAAATACCTGGGCCAAAACCATCTATTGACCAGTGACAGAATGAGGAATGTGCCTACCTTGTCTTCTGAATCACTTTTGGCTTCAGATTTGCTTGGGGAGACCTTAAATGTATTTGAGAAAAACAAAGTCACACCCAGCCGAGTCTTTCAAAAGATGTGAAAGATCATGTCTGAAACTAGCAGGTTTTCCTAGCAAAGGTGAAAGAAGTACAAATATTGCTTTCTCCCCCTATGTGGGAAAATTTATAATATAAATGTTTCTTGAGAACAACTTGAAGTCAATAGCTAAAGTGAAAAATATCTGGCCCCAAGATATATTATTCAGGCTCATACATCCAATTAATCAATGAAAACAGATTGTAGTAATTATTGAATTAATCCATGAAAACAGAAAAAATCTCTTTTAGAGATATTACAAAGTAGTTTCATCACACAGAAAATCCTTAAGACAGCTAAATATCTCCAGGTCTACAAGTATCTGGGCAGACGAAGTTTCTAGAGTAGTTCATCATCATTTGATCATAACTGCACTGTACCTAGACATCTCTATTGTTCAAGCCATTCTAAGGCATCTGTTCAGATTCATTACTTCTCAGTGCCCATGACAGCGAACGTGTTACATTTAGCTCAACGTGTCCACATGGGATTTTTATAAGCAATTTAAAGCATAGCCTACAGAGGAAGAGGAAAGGCAAAAGCTTACCAGTGTTTTAAGGAAACTCATGACGGAGTTATCTACTGCAGCAGCTGGTTGGAGGCTGTCTTGCTTTACCTCTGCCTTTTCGGGTTGCTCAGCAGCAAGACCGTTGACACCTGCCGAGTCCTGCTGTAGGTCTTTTTGGTTGCAGTCATCTATCTCCTAAAAAAAAGGGGGCAGAGTTTCCTCAGTCCTAGCTTGCTTAATTTCCAGTGGAATGCAAAAGTAACATTTGTGACTTGCATTATGTTGCTCTGAGAGTCACAACCCTAATTCCAACCATACTTCTCCAGCCTACGTATTCAGAACAATTGAGCATTTGTACATCTCTTTCCCCACTTTAATATATTCAGCATTTGCCGTTGGTTGCAGGAACATTGTTCTCAGCTACCAAGTATAACAAACCCAAGTAAAGTTGCACACAGCATCCCAAACACCACCGCTTTTCTCCTTTCAAAGCTGAACTTGTGAACAGGAACAAACGCTGGGATTTTGGCCTTTGACGGCTCAGTGTCTGACTGTACCATACAAATATTGCTTCCGATACAAATTATTTCTAGAATTGCAGAATACAGAGTATCTAGCAAACACAAACACGGTACAGATTAAAAGAAGGAAAAAAGCAAGAACCCAAAGTAATTCTTCTGAGCCAGATGGAGCTGCCTCCTCTTTTCCTGGAATTACAGTTCCCAGAGCCTAAAAATAGTTTTCCAGTGCTCAAACACTCACAAGTACATAATATTCTTAAGTTACTCAGTTTCTGCTAACCAAGAGACTGTTTTTTAAAAAACTCCTCTTAGATCAGTTTTGGAGAGCTTGGCACCCTTTTACACTGAATTTACCTGCCATTCTGGCCACTTTTACCTTGAGATTTGCCTTGAGATGCACAGGTAAAGCCAACACAAACTTTATTGCAGGAGAGAGCAGCTTGAGACAAGTCCTCAAGTCCTAGTCAGCCTTTCCTTTTTTAATATTTAAAGATTAAATTATTACATCTGGCCAGTAGTATCTGAGTGTTACAATAATCCTCCTCCCTTTTGTCTAGCTACATTGTAAGTGCAGGGCTGGATCTGTCAATTAAAATATATTGTGCCTAGCATGGTGGTGACCTCGACTTTGGTAGAGGATTTGAGACATTGTTGAATGGACAATCATAGCAGTGCCATTTTTCTTCAGCAGAAGTGGTCACCCCCAACTATTTAGCCAGCAGTACATATCTGGTCACTTCAGAAACCATGACTAGGGGAGCAGCAGTTAAGATACTAGATGCCCAGATTACTCCAGAGGAAAAAAAGGGACAAGAAATAACACAGATAAATCTGTCTAGGCATCTCCATTAAAAAGCATCTTTGAATCACTGCCTCTCAAACACTGCCTGGAGGTCTAAGTGACACCAAGTTTTTTCCTATCATAGCACCACTTTTACTAGGAAAAATTTAAATTGTACTTGAGAACCTTTCCCTGTACCAGGAGGTTTAAATACAGTATTTCTATAGGATTTGCAGAGGACGTATATTTCTGTAAGTCACTAAAGGAAGGATTAGACTAAAGATGAATAAACGAGTTAAAACTTCAGAGGGTTCATGTGGCGTCAGGAAAGAGCATGGAGTGGATGGTCTCCACGCAGCATTTAAGGAGTTAAATTATGCAAGGCTTTACTTGTAAGAACAAACTTCTGTCTAATTCTCCACCCGCCGTTTTCCAAGTTTACCCAGGAAGAAACGCAGTGCAGTAGTTCAGAGTGTGTCAACAGGCCATTTAGAAGTTGCTTGGAAGGGTCTAACACAGCGCCTCGTCCAGCTGCCAGCGACAGGCCAGAGCAGCTCCGAGAACAGCGTGTCCGTGCAGAACACGCACGGCTGCGCCGGCTTCGGCAGCCCTGCTTCCAGCGATGCCATCTAGAGAGCTCTGGTCACGAGAAAAATGCTGGCTCTATTTCAGACGTTAAAGGGGCAACAAAGGCTGGAGACCAAAGAAGTGGGAGGCAGAAGGTACGTTGCCAAACAAGGCTAGCTTCATCGCTGAAGTACTTGATGCTATCAAACCCTTCACTTTCGGAGTTATCAAACAAAAATAAGCAAACGTTATTTTTACATGCAGAAGCCCAAGCTCTGGCGGTGGGCTGCGCTCTGTTTCGGAGGAAGTGATCGTTCTAAGCTCCGAGTGCGCGCGGCTATCGGCCACAGCAGATACCACCTGGGACAATGGTGGAGGTGACGGGTACCAGCACGACCTGTTCCGGGTATCTCCCTGCTAAAGCCACGCTTCGCCCAGCAGATGTGAAAGCCTTCGCACGCCACGTGGAGCTCGAGGCACACCACCATCCAAAGCCACCCCTGAACTCTGACTTGCAGAGCTCAAGTGGGCCCCGTAAGGACCCACTACGGCATGAGGACCCTATGCCAGGACTCCCAAGCCAAGGCTGCCGCGAGCTACCGAGGTACAACTCTCATCTGGGCTTTGATAGACGCTGTGATCCTTCTTGCACTTTTGTGGGAACACTGCTGTGGGAGGGGGCACGGACTCAGGCCATCAGCGTATAAATCGGGGAGATATAATGTGGAGTCCTGCAATATCACATTTGCAGGGCCACAGTCAAATAGCCACAAACACGTCTGTAGCACCTTATTGCATATTATGCTGCACAAAGCCCCGGAGGCAAATAACGAAGGAAAACTCTGGAATCAACAGGAGAAAGTCAGTAATAGAAGTTAGCAGATACTGTATAAGTGTTCAATTCATTTCTCTAAAGACCCAAATTCGGGGGTAATAAACACCTTAAACACTTACACTGTAGTTTCAGTTCAGTCATTAGACAAACATATCAAAAGAATGTATTCCTGCCAGCACTTTTGTTTGCATGAATCATGGCTCAGTGAAACATTTCAGGCATATAATTTATCTTTTCTTTGGCTTACATAGTAAATGCTTCATGAATTCATGAATTCTGTCCTTGTTTTAATTATGCTGTGTTCTGAATGTAGTTTTGTAGACCACAAAAATAAAGAGTGGTTCACCAAACACAGAATGTTTGTGCAGCTCTTAAGCTACAACTGTGGAGCCTCTCTCTTACTTACCAGCAATGCTGTTTGTTTTGTGTTGGCACTCAATTCAGGGAAAGTTTGCTTTGCTTTTACAGATACTAGAAGTCATAATCCACCAGAAAAAGAAAAAAAAAAAGAAACTTTTGGCAGCAAGATTTGGATTTTTAGTATGATTGTTTGGTAGCAGTTCGCAGTTACTACAGTAACAGCAATTTGGACTTGGTCATTCTCCCATCCTACATGAGAACTAGCAACTTCAGAGGGAACAGAAGGCAACTGTGCTGCAAGGCAGAGCCACAGCCTTCGTTTTAGAAAAGGAATTAAAGTTTGGCAACCTCTCAGAAGTGTTTAGTTGATATATTTTCCCCAGAAAAGGTCCTTAACTCCTCTCTGCCCTCAACATATACTCCTTTTCACATCTGAAGAATGAAAGACAAAAGTTATAGTCCAGACATTCAAGGATAAGTTTAGAATTTCACTCTCCCCTGTGATATCGTTCTGCCACTCATTTACACTGAGCAACTTGAACCCCAATTTTGCGAGTCCTCAAAGATTTTCAGTGGCACAGCTTTAAGCACATGTGTAAAAGATGTACAGGCACTTCTGTTAAACAGGAGACCTGTCCTCAAGCAGGCCCCCCGGGGCCAAAAAGCTGTTGTGTGGGCTTGGATCCTGCAAACACACACGTACCAAAGATAACCTACAACTGATGAGTGCCTGGGATTTCCAGATTATTTCCATCAGTGCAGGCCAGGGTGTGGATAGGTATAAGCTGAAGACTGGAACAGAATTCAAAATTAGTGAGAAAGCTAGGAGTTACTGATATAAAAAAGTGTGATCTGAATGAACAGTGCTTCTGGTATCTGTTTGAACTGGCAGAATAACATTTAGATTATCTTGCCCTGTCCCCTGATGTTTGCTCATTAGAAACACTTGCTTACTTGAGCTTTCCCAACATGACTATTTGCTACTGGCGAACGTTTAACTCTGACTTCTGGTTAAAACTACTTCAGATTGTAGTTTCAGACTGTACTACTTCAACAGCACTGTAGTTTGCAGTCACAGCAAAATAGGAAATTATGAATTTTGCATTTGACCGTAAAAGTAAATTTTTGTGAGCCACAGGAAAAACTTATCATATATGTTAGTCAAAAATACCTGCAGGAATTTACAGTGTTGAAAATCTTCAGTCTTTAAGCCACAAACATAAGTGCCAGTATATACTGAATAGATTATTCATTCCGAATTATTCACCCTATTCTGTTTATGTAGTGGATTACTTTATATTCTTCTAGGTTGAGACTATGGATTCTTTAAATTCGCATATATAAGCTGTCTGAAATACTAGTGTTGGGTGCCAGTTTTGAAGGGCAATGGTCAAAAATGCAACCGTTTAGTCTCACAAATGAATCTGCAGAAAAATATTAAAATTTATAAATTTATACAAGAAATGTGATCTTCAAATTTGAGGAGGCATAAGATAGAGGAGACAAGGTAGAAGAGTAGAAATTGAAGAGACTTTTGGGGACAACCTGCAGCGTCATCAGTGCAAGCAGTGAGCACCTTGTGAACTATGTTCAACGCTATTCAAAGCAATAGCGATCATACAGTAGTCTTATTTGTAAGCCTGACCTAGGCCAATAAAAGAAGTTACTATTAAAATGGCATTTACACATAGATTATGATATGGGGGCCGTGCAGCTAGTTCCTCCCTCCTGCTCCTGATGTTGGACAGGATTTGAGCTAGATCACCAACTAACATATACTGGCACATCTTCAGTGGACCTAATAAGAGTAATGCCATTTACCCCCATCCAGGGGATGGACTTTTTCAGTAGTTAATTACCTGAAAATTAATCCTGCAATATATTAGCCAGTATCAAACTTTGCAGGAAGTGTAAAATCTAAACTCATGTCCATTTTCAGCTCCTTTCTTTGGTTAGTGTGCTCTCAGATAAGTTACTTAGTTTCTTATATCATATTCTCACCCTGTAAAATTAATTCTAAGGGACCACGTTTTCTTGACAAAAAGATCACAATAGCTAAGAGTGCAAAAACTGGTACTGCACAGAATTCCTTGTTCTGGTACATAGGGTATGCAACAAGCAGCTATTGCTCAAGAAGAGTGACTATTTTAAGAATGGCACGAAACATGCTGAAGAACTTCTTTAAAGCCATCCAGTGTTAAACTCCACGCTCCTAAAGCATAAGAAACAATTTTTTGTTTGTATTTTTGCTTTCATTTGTAGCTGGCTGCTGTTCATCATCCTGGCAATTGGAGCATCAAGACGGCTATCTTGCCTTTCAGAGAAATACAAATGAATTTACACTCAAGGTAAGACACCAGCGTTCAGCCATGAGGCAGACATCAGAGCTATTTCCACCCTGCCATAGGTTCTCCTCCCGAACCTCTAGTCAGCCACCCCTGCCGGGGGTTACCCGCAATAATTTGAAGAGCGACACAGATTCATTCACACAGCCATCATGACATCAAGTTGTCCTGCGCTATTAATATTCCTAAGAGGTGTCATTAAGAGCGAAATAGATATTCCTACTCAAGCACTTGCCTTCCCCCGTGGGACACCGTTTGATGTGCTCTGTAATCCAGCCGCCTCTTTCGCTGTGATGCGCCCGTCAGGAAGGTCTGAAGTCTGCCTTTCCTCCGGGGCATCAATTTGCGTTTTACTGCTTTCTTTCCCCTTCTCCAGTTTGAAGATCCTGTCAAAGAAGGTCACTTGTTTTGGCCTTGAGGCAGCTGCATCCTCTCCCTCAGGTGTCACTGGTGCCGCGATATCGGTGCCGTGAAGCGGTGCTGCCGACGGGGCCTGGGTCCGGTTTTTATGCGCGTTTCCCTCCTGCGCAGCCGCTGCGGGAACCTCCGCGCCGTCACTTGGTGCTTTGTTCACTCCGGGCGCCTCGGAGCTGACACCAGGCTTTGCCGATCCAGCTGATGAATCTGTAGCTGGATCTTCGGTACGCCCTGGTACGGACCATGAAAACGCGAAGACAGAGCGGCGTTTAGCAGATGGCAGAGCTTTCCTGGCAGCGCTCCCGAGGCTCTGCCCGCCCGCGTCGGGAACGGGGCTCTGCTCCCTTGTCTTCAGGGAAGAAACGGCCGCATTATCCCGTGTAACACTTGCCTTCGCATCCACTACAAACAGAAGCATAAACCAGTAAATATCCAGCACAACAAAGAAGTTACACCAGTTGTACAATCAATCATGGTGACCTCGCTCTTTAATAAACTGATTCTGAAACGCGGAGCCTCGGGGAGGACCACCCAGAGTGTAGCTTGTTTAGAGACCCTATTGTCTTCCTGTGCTAAATATGAGCTGCCACTCATCTACCAGACCTGCCCGTCTGATTTTCTTTCCTGTCATTCCTCACTGGAGTCAGTGCAAATTTTACGTTCTCCACAGCCCCCTCTCAGATGCCAAAGTCAGATAACAGCCCAGTGGTCATGCTGAGGATATTTTACTTTCCAATGAAAATTAAAGTAGTGATATGCAAAAAAATAAAATAAAGCTCGAGACAAAGCTATATGTTAATATATTACACTTTCCTCTGTCAAAGCTAAACAGGAAAAGAATGGAAACTGCAAGGACTGATTTGATTTCCTGGCTTGCCAAACTCCCCACCGGGCTTTGCGGTCACAATTTATTTCATTCATTTTTCCCACACTGGTCCTTGCCTTGCTGCCTACTCTCCGTAGCACAGTTTCTACTTGTACTTCTCTATTGTCTGTAGGTTACTTTAAGCCTGATTTGCAGGCTTATAAATCACATCTGAGCCAGGCTTCTTATCCTTATGATTCTGACTCATTTTACCCCAAAAAAATCCAGCTCTTAATCACATTTCCCCCACTTCAAAACTCTCAAATAATTCCCCCTTGTGTACACACATGCCCATCACACATCAGATGTGAAAAAAATCTTCCATCTTAAAAGTATATTTCATGATTTTATATCACAATGGCACTTTGAAAATACAGCTGAGATGAAAATCCTTAATGCTGTATATACAGACAGGAGGAGAAGGCTCCTGCTTTACAGAAGACAAAAGAAACAAGAGAGAAAAAATATATTTCTTGTATCTGTTTTGTAGATGGAAGATTGAATCACAGATTATGTGGTGTGAAACCCCAGTAAAAATGAGGAGGCTTATCGAGAGGTAAACCTTACAGCTCCCCCTCAGCTTGAGCTTCTCTTCCCTCCTTTGACTAGAATATATATATATCTGATTTCCCCGTGTCAATCACTGCCACAGATTTCAAGGATGAATTTAGACCTACTTAATTATAACTGAAAAACTGACACTCAAACTGACTTGCTAAATTAGAATTTTAAAATTGTCAGTTTCAGTGTAAAATTCAAATTATTTCCAATGTAATTGTAACAGTCTAGTCAATATTATGCCTTTAACATTTTACTTTAAGAGAAAAAACCCCAGATACCAACAAAGCCTGACTAAAATGCCCATCTTCCACAGTACAGATCTTCAGTGTTCAGTTTCATTTTTAAAATTCCTGTTTAAGATAAAGAGAGCAGAACATTTTTAGATCACAGATGTCAAAACTGCCCTTTAGTTTTTTTTTTACAGCAAAATTACTCCAGCTTTCCACACTATCCACCTCAGGATTTTGCATAACAGCACGCAAGCATCAGTGGGCACCGCACGCATAACGTGCCCGCATCCGCTGGGTACCGTCCCCCTGCGGCAGTGCCCGGGGACCCGGTCACGCCCCGGGCAAATTCAGGAGAGCAGAGCCCCAACATCCGGCTGCCACAGCCCCTTCCCCACAGCCTTAGCTTGGTGACGGAGAGTCCCAGCTGGACCCGTGTTTCACAGTTCGGGGCTGGTCCTGACTACAGGTGGGAGCTTCCACAAGCCCGAGAGATGAGCAGCGCCGGCGCGTGCCGGCACGTCAGCGTGAATCTCGAGTGACTTCACTGAGATACTTGCCAGCAGAGGAGGCAACAGGCGATGAAGCGGGGCTGTGGTGGCAGGATTCACAACAGCAGCCAGCCTTTTACCAGCTGCCGGGGAGCTGGCTCCTAACTTCTCTACTTCTAATGTTTTTAATCTGACTTTTTTTTTTTTAATTGTGTTTTGGGCATATGCAAGCATGCAGAGAGGCCAGAGTGCCTCAGTACAACCTGTTCTGTACAGGTAAATAGATTTTCTCTTCTTTGTGTGAAGTGAAATTTTTCTTTCACTTCTGTCTCTAATAGAGAAGATTTCTTTCCCTGGATTCTGTTCCCATTCAGATGAGAAAAGAACTCAGACTGGCAAGAATCCTTTGCCAGTAATATTCTTCTGCAATATTTCATAAGCACCTGTTTCAACATATTTGTACCTTTTCTTTGGATGGCAATAACTAGCTACTCAGCCACCTATTCATCCATTCAGTCAGGGCCACTATCAGTTATAGTTTCCTCAGCCTCTTGTAGTACTGTATGAAAGAGAACTGAAGCACTAACTTCTAATTATAGTAGGAGACTTAGGAAGGAAGGAAAAAGCAAACCCTTCCCCAGCTAAAGAAAGCAGAAACAATATCCATTGGAAAATAATTGTAAGAGATGCTGGACTTCTGCTTTATGTTACAGATAAAAAAATGAAACACAGGAAAACTGTCTTTGGTATAAAAATAGGAATATAAGCTCATCACTAAGAAAACCAACCAGACAAAAAGTAGCTCATGAACCTATCAGGCTCCTTTTATCTCTAATTATCATGGAAGGAATGAAAGACCTGGAAAATATCACCAGCATGAGCTCTGCAGCATGTCTCTTGTGTCAAAACAGTTCAAACTGTTTCAGGGAAAGCCTGCTCAGACACCAGGCAAAGCAGATCCCACCACCAGAGGAGACACTACCGTGGTGGGCTGACCAGAAGGGTTTGACTCATTCACAGCAAACCGAAGGAGCAAGGCTCTGAAACTGCAGTATTTGGATGAAAAGTGCACAATATTTTTGTTTTTAAAGAAACACAGAAGTGCCATTCTTTCAAAAATTTTTCCGCAATCCAGAGGCAGTATTAGGAATAGAAACAAAACCTCGCAAATTCTAGACTAGGTCTGCAAGTAGATCAGAGCTGTTCACTCTGAATGAGACTACTAACTGCTCTGAAACTAAAATCAATATACAATTTACAGCACTGCTGTGAGATTGCATTTCATATTACTACTGCACAGGCATTTTCATTTCAAGTATTTAACAAAACAGTCACACTAAAGAAGATTTGTCCTTCCTTTCCCTTCATTTCATCAGGCTATGTTAGAAAGGCAATACTATAGCTACACAAAGTCCCTTTTCTGTAAGAACACACTCAAAATAATGGTATTTTTCCTGAAATTTGCTAGATTAGATCAACAGTTTTTTCCTTGACTTGTAGGAAAAACTGTACAGAGAAGAGTAATGGTTAGTGCAATGTTATGTCAATACCATTTCTCTGCTCAGAAGTCACTGCTGACAGACTTTCTCTCCCCTCCTTTCGTATCCTGGCCTTTAGCATTTTAAGCACTTCCATAGGCTGAGGATGAACACCACCACTATGTTTGCTGACACAGAATGGGACCAAGTCTGCAGAATTAGCACTGAATTTTAAAAAGCAAGTGCTTAGCTTTTATTAGACAGAGCCAGCAAATAAAACATTATAATGGACAAAGCCTTACGGCAAGCACAGGCTTTAAACTGACCATGCGAGCTGCAAAACCGACCATAGAGGTATGGAATTATTTCTGGTCGTTGCGGGACCTGGGGCAGGCAGCAGAGCCCAGAGCGCTGGGGCAGAGTCCCCGCAGCGAAGCGCCCGTTTCACACGTGCTGGGACCAGGACGCAGCGCTGGTGCCGGCAGGAACCCCGAGGATGCGACTGGCATGGAAGGAAGCTCAGAGCCACCAGCCCGACATAAAGGAAAAGGCTGCCCAAGCTTTTGTCAGCTGCTTTGCTTTGGCAAATCAGCGGGAATACAACCAGACTTCAGCGTGGTGCACATAGCAGATGGCCACCAGACTTCCTCCAGTCCTGTCCAGCACTGCCGCGTTGCCTTCCCCCTCCTCCACGATGACCTGGTTTTCTCTGATGCTTAGTCTGCTCTTTTTATTCCTGGCAGCAGCCTAAGCTATACAGTAGGTATGTGTCTATTTTTGATGCGCTATTTGCCCAGGTTAATGCTTCGGACGTTTCTTAAAACATGCTCCTTTTCCTTAGCCTTTGATTGCTAGCCTGGTTTCAGCGTCATATGCACCCTCATGGCTAGTGCTTACACATAGGGAACACATAAATAAAGTCCTGTGACATCTTACATTGGCAGCTTCTCACCTCCTGTCATTTATCCTACTGACTCTCCCATAGCGCAAGTAAGTTTTTAGTTGTTGAACAAGGAACAACTTGAATTGGCAAGGTCTTCAGCATAGACATCTCCTCCGCTAGGCCACTAACACATAAGCATGCCATAAAATAAGTGCTAGGATAAAAATGTTTCCTGATGTTGTTGCTTTTGACAATAGAAAAAAAATACCTTTTTTTTGAAACTGAACTGAGCAAGCCATTATCTACAAATACACTTTTAGTATCTTTGACTATTTTGAATACAAGCCAGTTACAAACAGATATTTTGCTTAGCAATGTTGTTATAGTACCACAGCATTATCTGAACTCCAGGGAATAAGATAGTCATGGAGACAATAGATTTTAACAGCCGTGAAGGAACCATTAAGGGCTACAAGGCAATGTTTGGCACTAAGAAGTCCATCAGCGTAGGCCAGCACAATTGATTATAATAGCCCTGAATGAATTACTGCAGCAAATACGAGGCTTACAGTTCTAAACACCTAGCAATAGAGAGTGAATTTTCTAATCTACATTTCTGATATATTTCTATAGGCATTGTGGAGGTTAATTTTTCCTTTCATTATTTAATCTGAATTGGTATTATAATGCTACAGCAGATGTAGCATTTTCAGATCCCCAATGTACATCTCATGCTTGTGTGGGAAATCCCCAAAAAACTGACAGGACTAAGTGAATGAGTTTTCACAAGCATTAGAGATTTCTAAAATAAAACATTTGCCCCCTTTCTTAAAAAGAAAAAAGATACTAATATTCCTTTGCAATCTTGGTCAACTGTTCCAACCAAATCAAATGGACAGTACATTTATGCTCCAAGAATAATTTTCTTTCACCAAGTTAACTACCATTGTTATTTACCTAACAGATTTACTGAAATTAATGGAAATAGGGGAAGAGACTTTAGCAGCAAGACCAGTAATAGTCATTCTTTAAAAAAACCTACGATGCATTTTGTTTCACACCTTACAGGCACAGAGTTATTGCAATACACACATTTCTGTTAGATACTACTAGTAGAGTTGCTGAATCAGATTTGTCCTCTGCAACAAAGGAGTTGCATCTTAACTGAACTTTTCTTCCTTGCGTAATCTTTCTTTTTATGAGCAGGTTATTGTTTTAATCTGCATGTAATTGCCACCCAAATACAAAGTAAATTTTCCCCATTTTGTCCTCCTGGTACATTTCTACCTTATGTAATGCAAATCTCAGATATACAGCTTTTAGTTCTGGCCTTCTTCCCTTTACCTGTTGTCCACCTAATACTTTGATTAAAGTTCAAAAAGGTCAACACAAAACACTAGGAAAAGTCAGGATCGAACTTGCTATCCTCTTGCTTGCAAAGCAGCATGTCTTGAAGCGGCAGCTGGGGCACCACTACTATTTAAAGGGCATTACAGGAGGTGAAGGTGCCAGCACCCTGTGCGCTGTCTGCGGCCACGATAATCAATAGGAGCAGGAAAGGCAAGTCATGGAAAGAATCCTTAAGTCCACACAGCTGTCAGCCTGTTTGAGCAGAAGCAGCCAACGTAGGGAGCCAGTCACCAATCTGCTCACCCAGATGTGAAGCAGATGGTGACAGGGCTCTTCCAAATAACATTACTTCCTCTGGTCATATTAAGTTAACTCTCTGGATTCTTTTTTCATTATATTAGCAGATACAGATTTCATAGACTCATTTATCAACTATACCATTTAATGCCGAGCACATGGTCAGATCACTGGCAATCACAGAAACGCAAACTAACAAGACAAAGACCACGAGCATACATCTAACACTATTAATAAAATCCTCGTGCTTCACTTGCCTCTTTTGCAGCTCTTTTGTCTTCTCCAGAGGTGCTCACTTTATGAACATAAAATAGGTCACAGTACTATGTCTTGGATTATTTCATTTTAGAAAAAATATCAACTACATTTTCTATAGGAATAACTTACACCCCAAACAGCACTTGCACTTTCATTTCACCAAGACCTTGATTACTTTACACAACCAGTGAGATTTGAGAGGTATCTAAATAGTTAATGATTTTAACTGCTTTTTAAACATTAATAAAGTTAAAATACAAGTAATAACACAGGACAGCCCAGTTTTTCAAGTTGCTACTTAAACTGATTTAGTAATTACATTAATTAGGTAATCTATTTAAGTAAAACAATGCCATATGCTTCATTTTATATATTAAGAGTAAAATGCACACTTATTTTCTAGGTCTTCAGACAAAGTAAATCATCTGGCCTTTATTTACTTCAGAACTCTTCTGGTTTATGCCAGCAGAAACACACAGCTACAGGCTTTTATTTTCTAGTAGGCAGCCTTTTAAACTGACTTACACAGCTAGATGGCATTACGAAATTAGCCATGGAACAGAGATTCTGAACTGTAATCAGTACCATCTGCATATTCCCATACCAGTTTTTGGTTATTTTTGTCTAAGTTTAGATTTTTCAACTGGATGTAGCAGGCTGAGAGGGTTCTCTTGCAGAGATTGGAGAGAATTGTTGGTTTTATCATATTCTGAAAACAGAAAGAAATCCAATGCAAGGAAGACACAGGTAAAATTAATGTGGCTGAATCTGCAGAGATGTGAACTGAAGCAACGCTGCTCCAAACGACCGCTGCCTGAATGCTGCTCAGAGAGGCTCCAAAGCCAACAAGAGGTGGAAGGAGAAATTAATGAGGTGCTGAAAGGTGAGGAGACCCACATATGGCTATGGATGAGAGCAATTGCCCATAAATGTGAAGATAGCTTTTCAAAACTACGCGGAGCCAAATTTTTAATGCTCAGGGCATGTAGTTCACACCAGATTTTCAAGATGTCAACACTGGAAGTCGGGCTCAGCTGCTGACAGGCACCTTTCCATGAGGACCCAGGGTCCAGCCTGTCACTGGTGTGATCGCTTGAAAACCAAGTTGCTGTCCTGCCATGACCACCACCCAAGTAGGTCTGAAATGGGATGCACTTACTGAGCAGTGACTTACCCATACCCCCACCAACCATTTGACCTCTACACTAACACCTACGCTTTATATATATTGGGGTATTTTATTTCATTAGTGTGCAGAAAGAAACAAGTCATCATCCCCTTCCGCCACGCTCTTGTTGCCCTGGCAGTAGTTGAGTAATATCCAATACATCCTATAACAGTAACAGGAGAGAGGTGGTCGGGGTTACATCAGTCTTGTGACACAGTTTGAATACATTCTAGTGAACAGGACTGACCTCTTGGTAATAATGTTGTCAGCCATGCTGCATTCCCAGTTGTCGCTTATCTAGCTCTATAAATTACTGTGCTATACCCTAAATTCTCTACAATTCAAAGACAGGCAGTTGACAGTTAAATTCTTTTTATGAAGATCTCGCTGCAGATTAGTTGTGCTCTGCTTTCTTCAAGGTGGTCTACAACCTCTAAAATAAGAGCAAGGTAGGTTTCTATATATGAAAGGTACCAGCAAGGCCCAGCTCAGGATCAGAAGTAGCATTTCACTGCAAGACCTCAGGTCCAGAAGCAATTATGTTATAAAAACGTCACCACAGGTATAATGCCTACCGCCTTATGGTAATTTTCCCAGCCAATCACTTTTTCTAAATGACAGGCAGGACACAAAAGATATCCCTATACATATTTCACTGTTAACAAATAATTGTTTGGTGTCTTTGAAGTCAAAGCGATGCACCTACTCAAGAACACAGGACCAGAAATCAGAGAACAAGATGGAAATGTTTAGATGAACAAAAAGGTGCTCACATTTCTATCATATCATTTGTTGAAATTGCTCCTTTGCGGAGCAGAAATATGGTTTCACAAAAAAATGCAGAGGGCATTTCTAAGAACTTACAATCTTGTGGATGAGAACACATAGCTAGGAACTGGATTTTATTTTTAATTTTATTTCATTTTTTTGTAACCAACTTGCAAAGAATTTTGCAAAATTTTCTTTTATTAACATTAGACTGCTCAAAACACCCCCAGAAGCATGAGTGCATGCAGAATGTTTCAAAAGAACATATTTTATTGCAGTCACTAAAAGAAGTCCCTGCCCGCAAACAGTTTCCTACTCCCTTCTTCCCTTTCTCACCTTAATACAATATTACTCTCGGCTTTAAATAATTTAAATACATTTCTTTTGTGCTTGCATGATTCCATCTCCATTTCCTACACTCAGTATTGTAGCAACTTGAGGCACTTGGTAAGCACCCCTCAGAGTCACATAGCTAAAATGCCAGATCAGCAGTGTAAACTTCTGTTGTGCCTACCTCAGGTATTCCTTGAAACACCTGCCTCAAGCTCCTTACAAAACTCAAATCAAGTGGGACACATTGAGCTCATTGATAAGTAGATCCATGTTACCTGGAGCAATACAATAGTCAGTTTTCTGGCCCATTTTTGTCTTACCTCCTCCATCCATCCCAAGGCGCTCCATTTCTGCAAAGCTTTGTACTGCTGTAGCCTGCCTATCTTTGGGCACCTTTATTAGGCAATTTGATGATAGACCCTTAAGTCTAGGGCACATTGTTGATTTCTTTTATAAACAGAAAATTATAATGGTTCAATGAATGTAGTTTCTAGCCTGCATAAGTTTACTTTTTCCAATGCATTCAGCCCCCTTGGTTGTTGTGGGGTTTTTTTGTTGGGTTTTTTTTTATAGTCTCCTACATCCCCTCCAGACTACCAGTTTCCACACTAGTGGGTATTTCAGTCTCCATCCAAACACAACATCAGCTGGTAACTCCCTTTCCCGGTACATACCGTCACCATTCATTGCAGGAGAATGAGTCTGAACAAATGCAACAGATCCATTTTTAATATTGTCAGGAGATTCGGATAGAGCCTGAAAAAGCCAATAATACAGTTCTTAGGACTGGGTACATCATGGGATTTGATTGCCATATGCAATAGCCAGAGAAGATGAGAGTGAGCAGCTCTTGCTTACCTGATAGCTCTTTATTGTGCATGTATTGTCTTCTTCAGTTTCCTCTGGGACACTCATTGTGTTCCCCATAATTCCTGTAAGATGAAGAGGGGAAAAAAAATCACCCAAATAACCCTTTCTTGCTCATTAATATGAATTTACTGCCTAATTCAAATTAAGAGACAGCCAATGGTGACAGACTTTGTCAGGCTGTTTAAATTCCTAATAAGCCCCACCTGCCTTCCCAAAGGCACCTGCCCTGGTCATCAGTCGGCACCAACCAGTCTTACTCAACCCCAACTATGCAAAGAGGCTCACAGCTGCTCATTGAAAATGGTACAAAATAAGAAACTTTTCTTGTTTGTTGTGGAAAACTGGATGTAATCACCCCTGCGTCATTTGGTAGGAATCAATAGGTAGTAATATGGAGTTAGCAGCAGAATAAACTGAAAAAGACCAACATATATGAATGAATTACAGCAGCTTGGTAGGGGGTTGTGTTTTTGTTTAGTTTCATTTAAAAAAAAAAGAAGAGAGAAAAGAGGCACCATGTAATGACATCATGCAGTTGTGTATAACAATTCCTCTGGGGAAAATTCTCGCCTGTGGCTGTGGAAGTATTTGCCTGCTCTAGACAGCTTCACCAGTTGACTGCGGCTCACAGAAATAACTGAGCTTCATTGCCTTGGCTAGTTCGAGCACTGCCAAGACTGTAGCTGCTGCAAGTTGGAGACAACATGAACCAGTTACCGCAGCATTCATCTGTGGTCCTGGATGTGTTTTTCGAGCATCTTGTGTTGCCACAGGTGCAGCACTACTGACACCCAAGCTAGTCAGTTTAAAATGGCTTTCTTCTGTTCATACCTACTGGAGTCACAGCTCTGACTATAATCCAGGCATAATCTGAGCTAGTTAATTTATATTAGTCCATTAGGTAATTCAACACTCAGTGAAACTGTTCTGATTTCTTTAAACTTTGTTTCAGGAGCAATGTGTTTCATTCCATTTTAGTCCCCTTCTGATGTATAAGTACACATAAACCTGTTGGGGGTTCTTTGTTTTGTTTTGGTCTGTTTCCCCCACTCCCCCCCTTAATTTACAATATATTTATGTACCCTCTGAGGTTGCTATGCTTAAGGACTGTAAATTCTTTGGGGCCAAACATACAACACGGTTGAAGGGCAAACCATCACGGACGGAAGTTAAGAGGAAGGTTCCTATTGACTTTGGCTCAGGGTATATATGCGTATATACTGTTAAAGCTACACAAATAAACAATAAGGAGAAACTATTCTGAGCCACACCTTGAAAGAGGAAGGTCTTCAAAGAGAGGAAGGCAGAGGGCTGGAGCCAGCTCTAGCCTCATCCTGTTGGATGTCCTGCACGGCCACCGCAGGTACCAAGTGCTCTTTGTTTTATTATTGCTCTGGTTTATGCCTGTATGAACCAGCGAAGCTGCAGAGGTATGGATGAGAGCAGCTTTAGCGTTTTAATTAAACAGCCCTTGGCTGTTGGAGAAAAGGAGAGGGGTCGTTTTGCTAAATCATGAATCTGAAGGCAAGAACGGGGGGCAGCTCTGCTGTCAGCCCACAGCCCCGGGTGTCTGCTGCCAGTTACTGCTTACAGAGCTCAAGCTGCTTGTGGTTTCTCGCTAACCCCAAGCTACAGACCTTTGCTTTACACGGATGGTCCAGATCTGCTTTCTATTTTATGCTGCATCCTAGCTGACATGAAATCCAAGCTGGGCCTCTCTCCGGAGATGGTTGTTGCTCTCTGCTGAGTGCCTAGTGCCATGCTGGACGCTGAACGGCCCCCACCGATGCTGCAACGCGAACTGCCGTCGTGCGCTGCTGAGAATCGTTGCATGAATAGTGTCTGTAGGACTGAGCCTTGAGTGCAGAGTTATTTTACAGGGGTTTTATCTTCTCAGCTGATATTTCCACTATAAATCAGAATTTCTGATTTATGGTGGAAAACAGCCAACGTTTCCCCCTGGAATGTACAATGGCCTCTTGTCCTTGCTATGTGTTTGTTTCCTAGCAA